TTTTTCAGCTAGTGAACAATTAATAACACTGTATCCTGTGTGGCTGTATAATAATGCATTATAATTTATAAAAGCGAAGGCATATTCTGTGCTGAAATGACTGTAGGAGAACATGAAGCAAATTCTGTTGGGACTCTTTTGAATACTGTAAGAGAGAGACTAAGGAAGAGACTCCTCAATAGTTCCTTCTGTCATGCCAAACCAGATGAGCTTTGGGACTCTGCTGTGTGTACCACCGTCAAGGGCTTCACAGCATGAAAACCTAATGCTTGAAAGACCTCCCTGGTTGCAGCAGTGCTTCAGCTTCTCACTTCTTGTCTAGTTGTGTCTACAGAACGAGCATGGAAACTATTACTGACAATCTCTTGGGTTTGTTTAATAAGACAGGCAATGCCATGACCTGCTTCCCTTTCAATATTCTTTCAGTTGTTCTAAGTCATTTTTTTGTTTGTTTCCTGCAGGACAGACTCATGGCAGCTCGTCCAGACACACTGTCTTCCTTCCTCATCTAATAGTATTGGCTGCTCCCCATTTCAATTCCACGAAGCTACCATCTATAACTCTGTCAACAGCTCCATGTGGAGAAGAATAACTATCCAGCTGCCTGATCATGTCTCATCCAGGTAGGTTACTGAAAGGTCAGCTTGCTGTGGACTTACAAAGTGCCAGCTGTCTTGCTGGCACTGTTCGCTTGGAACAACTGGTGAATTAAAAAATGTTTCTTTGTTGGTGGATTTAAACCTGATACATAATTCATGTTTTTCAGAAAGCTTTTTATTAACAGAACTGGCTACTGCCAGTGACATAGCAGCTACCCATTCAGGGTGGGTCTTTCCGTCTTTCCAGTTACTGAAATCACAGCCCTTTCACAAGACATTTTTCATTTCATCTGCTGCTAGTGTATTTGAACATCACTGAACAGATGTGCTTAATTGCTAGATATCGTAATACAGTGTTTGGATTTTGGTATTTACAGTGCAACTCAGTTCAGGTGGATTCAGAAGGGAGAAGAACTAGAGAAACAAAGCTGGGCGATTGACCACGTGTATATTGGGGAAGCGTGCCCTAAGCTCTGCAGTGGCCATGGATATTGCACAACTGGATCCATTTGCATTTGTGATGAAGGATATCAAGGTTTCATTTCTTCAATTTCGTTCTTATACATCTGCTACAGTCTCATCTAGGTCAAAATTAAACACAAAAAGTGATATGTCTAAATTTATCACTGGATTGCTTGAGTAACGAATTCTAAATTAAAAATCTGTCAGAGCTGCAATTAACTATTCCTCCTTCCCTTTCTGGTTTGAGTCAGTAGTCTCTCCTGTCTGCATTGTATGTAAAGCCCATTTAGCCTTCAATGAAGGCAGAATTTGGCTACCTGCCCACCCAAAAATGGCTTCCACCCTTTTACTAGAACGATGCACCCACTCCCGTGGGATGTGTACATGGAAACAAGATGTTGGCAACTGGCACCTGTAATGGACTCAGTTCTATGTCATAGAATGCTATGTCAGAGCATTTGCTCTAATCCCTCAGTGCAGCTAAGCACATGTCTAATGGTACTTGAGCGCCCTTGTTAAATTCTAAGCACTTTGTGGGAGTGCAGCCAGTGTTTATTGTCTTCCAAGAGAGTCTCAACTTTATAAGATCGGATGCCTTCCTGGTTTAGATATATTTCCCTTCAACTGGCAATTTGAGGTTTCTCATATAGGCATCAATGCAAAATAGGAGAAATGATATTGCAGTTCTTGAAGTTATATTACTGTAAAAATTAAGACTCACAGCCTCAGTCTTCTAAAAATGAATGCTGTACAGCAATATGCACATTATTAATGGATCTGCTGGTATACTCAGCCTGTAGTCACACTGTATATTGGGCCTCAACCTTGAATGGAATCACAATGAACTGTAACTCAATTTTATCAATTCTTTTGAATTTTGTGTGGTTTATAACTTCACTCTGTCATTTCTAGGTGATGACTGCTCTGGCTTTAGCCATGACCTCCCCAGTTATATTAAAGATAATTTTGAATCTGAAAGAGTCACTGAAATAAACTGGGAAACTATTCAGGGGGGAGTGATAGGGAATGGATGCGGACAGCTGGCACCCTATGCCCATGGAGATTCACTCTATTTTAATGGATGTCAAATACGACAAGCAGTGACTAAGCCTCTGGATCTCACCCGAGCAAGGTAATACTTTGAGCCTAAAAAGCTCTTTTAGCAGCTCATGAGAAAGGAAACTCTTCATATATTTGTGCAGCCATGTAGGCCAGTACTGATGAGGATGGACTGACCCAGCTGAACCATGCAGTCAGATGTGGCTGGCAGATAAACATTAGGGCTGGCATAATGCTTTGTGACTTTCATTTGGGAGATGGAGAGTCAGAAGGAAGCGATGTCAGATGAAAAGGTCAGATGTTTTCGTCATGCCCAACAGAGCACTCTCTAGTAAGCCAGCACTGACAATGAATCCATTGGCAAAGACTGGACACCAGACTGTCTGGACCAGTGCCTGATCTGATAAGACAAATCCCATTTTTGCATGTGCCTCCACGACAGTTATGACTAAAGATGCCATTAGTAATCACAGACTTATTTTCCTGTTTCAGTTGTCAAATAGAATTACACTCACCTGACAATAAACAGGAGTAACTTTGTCATCTGTTGAGCCTCTTTGGCCATGGAAAACCAAATGCAACCAGTCTGTGCTGGCTCTTAACAGAGTGACAGCTTTCTGGACTGGTTAGTTTTTAGCTGCCTAAAGGAAGATTAGAAACAAGATGAACTGGCAAACAGGACAGATGTAAATTAGGCTTTTCCTTTCTTTTTTGAACAACCACATACCTTTTTGGCACTTTATTATATTCAACCTTTATTTGCCCCCCCCTTTTTTTGTTTTTTATACACTCATTTGCAAGTTTATACTGTTTATCCATCTCAGTTTTGTGCAGATACATTGTAAAATTGGATCTACTGCCTCCAATTCTATGGCAATGTTATACATAGTAAACTATTACTTTGAAAGGGGAACTGTGTTTTAGAGATGCTGAGAACAGTTTATTTTGCATGTTAAAAGTAATGATTCTTGAGGATGCTCAAAGTTTTAATAAGGTAACTGCAATAAACCTGGAAATGCTATTTTTCCGGTTTGAAGGGGTTTTTTGTGTATTGAAAATACCTTTTCTGTGTTTTACAGCAAAATCATGTTTGTTTTGCAAATTGGAAGCATTTCACAAACAGACAGTTGCAATACCAATCTGAGTGATCCCAACACTGTAGACAAGGCAGTGCTCCTCCAGTACAGTGTAAATAATGGAATTACATGGCAAGTAATTGCACAGCATCAGCCAAAGGACTTTATACAAGCCCAAAGAGTGTCTTATAATGTTCCCCTGTGAGTACCCAGTCACATTTCATTACCTTTAAGTGCAGAAGATATATTTCTACTAAGAATCTATCTTTGCATCACTGCGCAAGTAAAAAGTTTGATGAGAGGGTAAACGAAGAAGAAAACTTAAGGGGAAGGCTGATCAAGAAATTCCAGCCTAATGTTTATCAATATACTTGAAAGAAAAACAGGTTGCTTGTTTTAAAGATATGATACAAAAAAAAAATCCTTGTCTCTGTGCATTTTTCAGCATTGTTTTGCATGTACAGTGTGTTGATATTCAGTGGTGTAGAATAATGCTTTAACTTTGCTCTCAGTTCTGTTGGGGGTTAAATAGGGATATGCAAAACACCAATAGTCTGGAGCTCTCACAGGCTCTTGTGTTTGTGATGACAGGGAGGCACGAATGAAGGGAGTCTTACTGCGCTGGTGGCAGCCCCGTCACAATGGAACAGGTCATGATCAGTGGGCTTTAGACCACGTAGAAGTCGTCCTGTGAGTATCAGCTTCACCTCATCCCACCCCATCTTAGAAAGTACTGAAATTCCTCCAGCATGCCATGAGTGTTAAACTCAGTAAGAATTGTTGTGGGCCAGGGAATCCTTTAAGAACCAGTCTTTGCTAATGCTCTGCCCTGACTGTAACTGTCAGTGGTTAAGATGGCCATGAAATAAGTGCCACAGCAGGGGTGTTGTGCATCATGGAAAAATGCAGGAGGGAAAGTGGGACTTTATCACAACCAAGTATTGGTGTGGTCGTGTAATACCAGCAATGACTATGAAAAAAATACTGTGCTGGGACATAAGAAAGGATGTTCCCTTTCAACACTGTGCTGCCATGTAAGGCTGTTTTATATTCTTTCAAAGATACAAAAGAGTCTGCTGTATGGCTCTTTGCACAGAGTAATGTTGTTGTGCCTCTGAAAAATTTGCGTTAGCAACTAATGCCTTATTCATTTCCTTTTTTTAGTAAGAAGGATACTGTTCAGAAACAGGGTTCACTATATCAGGTTCCTATGGTCCGAGCTCTATATTCATCCCCTTGTCAAGATTTGACCAAGTGTCTGCACCCTCCTGATTCTCCCATTCTTGAGCTGGGTTTCGCTGGCAGCTAACCCGTTTTTCCTGTGTTACATCACGAAGAGATGACCTGCTTTTTCTCTAACACTTTAGTTCCAGTAGAAGTGAAATGCTAGTGGCTTCCCGGGCGGGAACTCATCGCTGACAGTGGTTGGCAGAGAGAGGCGTGCCTGCTCCATAGATAGGTTCAAACGTTCCTTTTATTGAAAAATGTAAAAACCAGCAATGAAGAAATTGGTTTTGGATGACCTCCAGACTCTGTAATTATAACCATGAGGTTTCTGAATAGCAGGGATACTGCAAGCAATGTTTTGTAACAGTAGCAAAGTCAATTAGTTGACTGCTAGCTAGCCCTGTTCTTTCCACTGAAAAGCACCAGCTTGCATGGCACTCATATCAATCCCAAATCAATCTGGCCCCAACACTGAGTTAATTGTACATGTTCTGCTGCTTTCACACACCTTGCTGGGCTCTGCTTCCATAACATTACATTTAAAGCTTGAAGGAACAGAGGGAGGATGTGATTCCTGGCTTAGTTAATCAGTGGCTGTAAGATGCTGCATTAGGAATGATATGGAAGAGTATGAACCTGCAGGAGGTTCACAGTCTTTAGAAAACCTTGGAAAAGGGAACTGGTAGTTCTGAAGGATCCCCATGTTCTTCTACCGTGCAATTAAAAAGAAAATATATAATAAAAAGGAAAAAAATCAGGTCAGAAAAAAAATGGAGCATAATCCAAGCATTGAATTAGGGTGTGTAAGCAGGAATAGGACAGATCTTTAAAAAAGTGATTCTTAGGCTGAAATATGGAGGACTTGAGATCTGCAGGTTGTAGACTAGACACACAAGTTGAGTGTTGACAAGTCAACTATGTGGGATATATTATACTAGAATGCAGACAGCAATAGAAATGCTACAGCAAGTAATCACACCTTACCTAGAGAAGGAATTGGATGTGCAGACAGTGCCTCCTCCCTTCACTTCTTTATCTCTTGTTAAAGAGCTTTAATGCTCTTCTGAATTTTGGCCAAAATATCAGACTAGAGACAGAGAGTTTCCACCCTGTTCAAGTGACACCTGGTACAACCCACAGAGGAAGACAGACCAGACCGATTTCTCCTGTAACAAGTACTGTGAAATGTAGTGCCATGACAGCCCATTTCCTAGAGGCCAGATGTAGAGTTCTGCTCCCTGCTAACTACGACATTTGAGACGTGCTGCTCTCAGGAAAGGCAGAATTACCTGCTGTGGTACATCTGGTTCATATGCTGGCATGTGCTTAGACCTGACAGGTGGCTTCGACCCCTCTGTTTTGCTTAAGTTCTGTCTGTACCGGTTAATTCATCAAAATATTCTGTAGACCTCTTAAATTTTATTTGCAAGTAACCTGCCAAGGGTTCAATAAAGCCTTTACAAGGCTTTCTGAAAGGAGGCACACTGTTCCTTGTCAACAGATACTCCTATTTGGGGTTTCATTTGGCTCTGCTGTTTCACTTGGCCACCTCACCCTGGTCACTTTACCCCCAGTGCTTGAGTTTCTTCACTTGTAAAATGATGAAGCCACTTGAGCACCTGCACTGAGTGCTTTCCAGCATACAGAAGGGAGCCTGGATCAGTGTCTGTTAGCACTAATCCTGGATGATCCTGCATGCACCAGGGATTCACACCATGAATACTATGGATAGGATTTTGCTTTAATTCTTAATATTCTTCATTCTCCAATGAAGCGCACAGAAACCTTGCATGGGCAGCTCTCTGGCAAAAGACAATGAGACAGCAACCCTTGAGCAGACTAAGGCCTGGAATAAGAGGGCAAGCAGGGAGAGCACCTGCCAGCAAGGAGAGCTGGCCTGTAGGGATGTAGCACAACAAAGGATTTTATTTCCCATCCAATATGGGGGATGCCCCTGCCCCTCCTTACAGTGCTGACCCCAGGCACAAATCTGTGAATACCTGCATTCATGGTTCTACTCTTCTCAGCAATTCAAAGGTTTGAAATTGATTCTGCCACAGGCCCAGCTGCCAAGCCATAGTGCAGATAGCACTTAACAGCTGATGCACAGCCAGGGTCATGCCACTCTGCTCAGTCCAGTTGATTTCTGAGTCAAGGACCACCATCCTCTCACCAGCAAATACATTTTCAGAGTGCAATTTCTTTGTTTCCTTTCACTCCCAATCTAGTTTGTTGGAGGAAAAAATAAGATGCCGATTATATGTGCATGCAACATACCTGCCAGTGATAAGAAAGGCCAAAGAAGGATGGCCTTGTATATGACTTAAAATCATTTCTCTTTTGAATGAATTATTTGAATGACTCATTAAAAAGCAGTATCATTAAGACTGATGCAGCTGCAAATGGTGCTCAAATTGAGCACCTCTTCTGAACAGGTGAAACACAATACCTGCTTTATTATGTTATACATTAAACTGATCTTGCCAATTTAACTACTTGCCAACTTATTTAACAATGGCTGATGTTGGTCCTGTGGTGGGGAGAGGATACTAGCTGTCAAGTTCTCCAGTCCTTTTTAAAGCTAGTGCCTATTATTCCTCAATAGTGCAGCATTTTTTCTCTCTGTTCATAAAGAAGGCTTTGGGCACAACTCTCACAATTTCCATGTGGCTCTTCTTAGGATAAAAAAAGTATTTCATCACAGACCTAACAGTGGTTTCCTGTGCTCCTGCACTTCTGCCCTAAGAAGAGCCATGTCCAACTCTGCATTTCATTTACACATTGTTTTTCTCTGGAAGCACAGCTCTCAGCCTGTCTGCTGCACAGACACCACACACTTTTTTGCATGTGCATTTGGAGCTGCTATTTCTTCATGTATGGGGCAGGCTCTTACAAACCTCTCATAAACTTAATTCTGGTCAAAGGTATTGAGAACTAAGGAGTAATGATAAGCTGAATACTAAGGGTCTGGTGCTGCTTTCTTTGCACCCCAAAACTCATTCTGTGATCCAAAGGAATTTGAGTTCTGCAAGGAATGCAAGAAATATTCTCCCCACCTACTTTATGGTTAACTGTTGCATAACAGAACAAATCCTTCATAGCCATCACTCCATGCTCTTCATTGTCAAGATATTACCACTTTTTTGGCACAAATGATTTAGTGAGAAATTATTGCAGTTGGTGCAAAGAATGTTATCCTTATTTTGCAACATTAAAATACAAATTATACATTCTAGTTCTAACAACTGCTCATGTAGAAAAGCATTTTCGTCTGCTTGTTTCAGTAAAAAGCAATGATTTGAAAAATGCATTTAAATTGAAGTATCAACACAGCTATGATAAACAACAGAAACAGTACAAACATTAGGTAATGATCTGAATATTTACAACATTTATGCCAAATTTAATATGATGCTGTCTGTGCTTTTATGATGTTTTTGTTATGTCTAAAAAGTGCATGCTGAATTTTATAAAAAATATATATATAGCATTGATTTGAAATATCAGGAAATAATTTGTTCAATTTTTATTTTCAAAAGAGATGAAAAGTCGTATATTGCCTCTAAACCTCATCAGGGTTTTATGACTAATCACAGTGCTGCATGCATTGAAAGGCATATTCTAACTTGTGTTGTATTTCATTGTTTGCTGTCATTGGTTTTACACTAGAATAAGGTAAGTACTTTCCCTGAATCAATAGAAAATGTATGTTTCTGTTACAGCTACAGCTCTTCCACAAAGTTTTGTCAATAATTGGTTAGTGGAAAAATCATTTGTACTCTCTGAGATGTGCCACGTAGCTCTTGAGGGCCCTAATCCTGCAGCTCTTCCCAAGGAAGCAATGAAGTTAAACTCAGCAGAAGGTGTTCAGCAGATTACCCCATACCATAGTGGGAATTTCACTGAGGTTGCAGTGAGAAGGATTTCTCCTTCTCCTGCAGTGCATCAAGACCCAATGGAAGGCACCTAGTGCATTGCATGGGTGACCTCTTAGTTCCAACAGGGAATTCCCACTCTTTTAATGATCACAGAGCTGAAGCCAGAGCCAGGTAGTGTACGTCAGTGAACCTGCATGGTGGCATAGCTCATGAGACACACAGTGTCTTCCCAGTAGTTTTTATCTTTCTAGTTTCTTATAACTCTGCTTCTTTGTATTGTTGCAGTTAATAGGTACCACTAATCAACAGTTACTGAGCTCTGGGTTTAACTCTTGACCTCACCAGAACCAAAGAACATTTCTCATTGATATGAGCCATCAGGACTTCAGTGAAAGCACATGACGTTTCTCATTATAGTATCCCCCTGACAAAGCAAGCATTTGTCATTCAGCCTCAAAACTTACTTACCCCAAGGCTAGTCCCAAAAGGCAGCTTTTGCTGTTTTCTAAGGCCTTGTTCATGTTTCATCTTGTTATACAAATATTTTTTTTTCTATTTGATTCCTATTGTGCCCTGTCAATTAAAAATAAAAACACTTTTATACTGTTTTTTTTTACCACTTATTTTTCATTCCATTTGGCCATGTTCTATGTAAAAAAAAACAAAAAAAAGAAAACAATAGCAAAAGCATGGTAAAACCTTTTATCAGTCTGTGAAAATACAAATTAAATTTGTTATTAATAGTATTGAAAGCATTCTTAAATCCACCAAACGCAGCCATGCATAAGTACTCCTGCAAACTATAGTATATATTTTTTATCATGATTTTATAAAGCACTGTCTGTCTTATACAGTGCTTGTCTCCTATCAACATATAAAAATAATTCAGAAACATAAATATATACTTTCTGTGATTTTGTGAATACCAGACTATACATACTATACAGTATGATACTATAATATATAGGTTATACATACTTACCTATAGCAAGAGTGAAAATGATACCATTTTCTATAGCAAGCATGAAGTTTTTATGTGGCATTCCAGTAGTTGGAAAGTCTATGTCAGATGTTGGTGGGGACAAATTTAACCATGTCAATGGAAGTTAAAAGAATAAGTTCTTGAGAATTCAGATTTCTCTTATTTTTCACACACTGCACTGCTCTTGTGGTCAGTGTGAGACATAAATATATGTTTCTTTGTAACTTGTTGATCATATAAAATAACAAAGCAGAATGATATATATAAATAATAAGTAAATCTCTTTTAAGTCATTAGGTAACCCTTTCTTTGTTTCTTTATTCAATTCTTTCTTTTCCTTTTTGGTTTTGTTTTTTTGTTTGTTTTTTCTTCCCCCTTTGTTCATTATTTTAAACATCTTCATCATAACTTTAAGGCCAGATACAAAATGGTTAGGAGTTTGAAGTGAAATGGAGGCAAGATGCACCTAGCAGTGTCCAAAAGGAGCCCTGAAAACCTCTGCTGACATGTTGCTGAATGTGAGCAGACCAAAGGCAGGAGGAAAATGCAGGAATGTGAAGGCCCCTGGGCCATGAACTGTAGCTCAGCATGTGCCCTAGCTGCCCAAGCCTTGCCTAACCTGAGGCTTTCGCAGTCAAGCTCAGTCCTAAATTTAACGAGGTCCAGAAACAGCATCTTTTTCATCCAAACACATTGACAGGCTCTGATTGGTCCCATTTACCTAGAGCAAGGCCACTCAGTTTTGGGCTGTGCTTTCTCCCATGTCCCTGTCTCCTGTATTTCAACTGCAGAGCAGCCTTCTCCCAGCAGATAGGTGCTTCATCCTCACTTCGTGGTTAAGCTGCTCTCCTGAGAGGTGGGATGTCACCTTGAAGGCCTTGTGTCTAAGGAACCACCCACATACCAGGCAATGGGAATTAAAGGGAAGGCAAGATTAAGACCTCCTTCAAACCTCATGACCAATGGCAGCCACATTCAAAAGCGGGTTCAGGGTCATGATTTCCCTCCTGCCTTCCTCAGTGAGGCACTCAGCACTGGATTGAGTGTGATGTTCCTCTGAGGTGACTGCAAGACCAGAATAAAGACTGGTTTTCAATGCTTCTTTGCACCTGAGCTCCCAAGTGGCATTAAAACTACATAAAGCTGTCTCACACAAAACTCTCACAAATCCTTTTCACTTGAAGAAGTCAGGTGAAACTCAGGACAAGTCAGCCTAAAACATTAACTCCTCTCTCAATTGCCAAATGCTCTAGAGCTGTGCTTTCCTGTGGGAGTGCCAAAAGTCATGCTGAGTGTAGATCTGCTTGCTTTTGCTGTCACCAGGAGCTGGTCTTTGTTTCATTCTTGTATGTACATTCCAGTGGCCAAAAAAAACCCAAATTATCAAAAATTTGCAAAGCCTTGGAAAATCAGTCAGGAAGCAACTTGGATTTCCTTAGGGGCTTATACTTTAGATTTTGACACAGCTGCTTTTATACAGTTTAGTCAATTGTGTTCTAGATTAGCTGTTGAAAAGGGTATAATTTTGTTATACAGATTTTTTTAGATTAAATTAGTATACTGCAGCGAAAGACAGCTTTGCAGGATCATATGTATTTTGCAAAGCATGCAATTATCCTTTTTTCCTAAGGGCCACATTCACTAAAAGTAGGCTTATGCACTAGAGAGGAAAGTATGACTGGTATGAGTACTTAACTTCTTACCCACAGAGAAAACTCACAAGTGAAAACCTGCCCTGGTTTCAATGGGAGATTTGTTCAGTGCAGTGTCTACTCCAGGCCTTTACTTCACCTATCACCTTTAAAATCTTACGGACTTTTTGCTTTGGAGGGTTCTGGTACCATCCAGTCCTTTGGAGGACAGAGGCTTAGGCCAGCCATTCTTCTCCCACTGCAAGACAGACATAGAAAGCACAAGGTCCTAGGTAGGTAGGGAGGATTATGACAAAGCAGGAATTAATCTAAGACTGCACAGATTCATTACAGTTTTTCAGCTACTTTTCACTGGAAACCAAAAGAAAGTTTGGCCATGCAGTCACCAGCAGTTCCTCCTGGGAGAAGCTCCTTACACCCTATGGAATTGTCCTTGAGGTCTGCATGGTCTCTGCTCTGATCTCTTAAAGAAACTGCATCCTCTGACTGTATCTATGGGAGTATGTCGTATGCTGGTTTTCTGTGCAGAGAAAGGGGGTTAGGTGGCTCTAGCAGCAGTATGTGATACTATTTTTATTTTTAAAGGCATTTCCATAGTCAAAAAGTCTTTCTCGTGCCCTGGGACTCTACAGTGCGTAGTTCACAAGTCACTGCCTCTCATAGCAACATCTCAGCTGCTTAACACATCTGGCCAAGTGCTCTGCAAGTTGCAGGTCTGAGAGGAGACATCCTTTATCAGAAATTCAGCATACACAAACTTTTTCATTCTCATGTAATTCTGAATGCAGTCTGGCTGTAGATTTCTGTAGGCCTGTATTTGTGTGCATGTACTAGGGTTCTGGGTAGGTATATAGACAAATCAAGAAAAGGCATAGCCAGATGAAGCTTTGTGGCTGTTCTGCAGTCCCCTGCCACAACAGAGGCAGGGGGTGCAGAGGATCTGCACAGTGGGATGTGTGGTGCCGCACATGCAGTTCTCTCCAAGGTGTATGCAAGTCTATCTAGGCTATAAGTTGACTCACAAGAATGCACCACAGACGCTGTAACTCCCTTTCCAAAGCTGTGGAAATTTGGAAACTGAAGCCAGTTAGGTGGGTTTCAGGTACCAAAGTCCCAGACAGCCATGTAGTCTGCCACTGCCACTGCCACTGCCCTCACAATTCTCCTTCAATGGGAGAAGTAGAAACCTATGTTAGGTGTGATGGGTCTTGTCCTTGTCGTGGTTTAAGCCACCTAGGACAGTCCTTTAGGTAGGTCTTCTGAATGAATATTCCTTCTTCAGCTAGACTGCAGTCAGGTTCTCTTGCCTGGTCTCCTTCCAGACATGATGATGCTTATTTCTGAGATCTTCCTTTAATTTTGGGTGGGGTTGTATAAAGGAGGGAATCATTAAATCTGCATAAAAGTGTTGTACTTCACTTCCTATATGGTAAAAGTGGAAGATAATGGAGAAAAGCTTTTCTTCTGTTCTCAAGATAAAGCAGTTAATGGCAGAAGACAGAAGAATAACTGGAATATAAAACCATTGTAGAGAAATGCCGTGTATTGAATGAAGTGCATACAGCTTTAGTGAATCTGGCCCTAGGCAGCACAAATATTCATTAGCTGAAACCTCTTAAACTTTCCCTAAAACTATGAATTGTAAATAAAAGCAAAGTGGGACAGATTCTCAATTGCCTTGTACCTCACTGTTGTATAAATGGTGCTTTTCATGCTACTGTACACAGGCCTGAAAGGTCAGGCAAGGACAAAGAAGAATCTGCCCCACTAGCTCACTGCTCCAAAAGAATTTAAAGTGAGTATCAAAGACACTGACAGTCTTCTCTTCCCCTGCCCTTTGATTTTAACAGCACTCGCAAACAAAATTACATGATGAATTTTTCACGGCAACATGGGCTCAGGCATTTCTACAACAGAAGACGAAGGTCACTTAGACGATATCCATGAAGAAACGAGAAATTTATTTTTTTTCCTCCCAACATGTGATGTGTTGCTTTTCATTCTTTAAATCTAGCACTGCGTCTGGTATCAGGACTTTTCTGCAACTGGCTGGATGAGTAACTGAAAGCCTTTCTCAAGACAGAGTGCACACCACTTTTTCGCACTGTGAACTAATGAGAAGTGACTTATTTTCTCATAGGTAAATGTTTTAATGTTGATGTGTCTGTGAAAATTGTGATCTGTTGTAATATCAGTTACAGTGGCAGTATTGGAAGTAAGCAACTAATTCTGTTTAACAGGAAAAAAAACGTTTAAGCACAAAGACTTTTCAGATTTTATGTTTAAAAAACCCTACATACTAAGTACAGAATTTAACATTCTTGGTCACATAGGTATTTAAGTGCACTGTACTTCAGCTCTGTGTCATTTTATATGATTAAGTTATCATTGTTTGTCCTCTCTGTATTATCTTCTACAACATGACACATTGGCACTGTATTTACTTGTTTTGCTGTTGTAATACTTTTGCTGCTGATTTTTGGGCTATTTACCTTACAACAAAATGTATTAAGAAGAAAAATTCGAAGTACCTAATCCAGAAGATGATTGCAAAAGTAGTTGTAAAGGCACTGATATCCTTCAGTCTTATTCTTTAATATGTCTGTGGGTTAGCATTGTTTTGTGTATAAAAAAAGAATGCTTGACATTAAACTTTTTTCTACTAAGGAGCTGTGGAGGAAGCCCCAAACAGAAGTTCCCAATTTCCTATCTAAATGTAGTCAGTTCTCTGCAACTGATTTACTTACAGTAACTGCCATTTGGTGTCTGTAGTAATGAAGTGATTTGTAAACAGTGAACGTTTCATCGTGTTCTCTTTGGTGTTTGTTTCTATTGCGGGTCATGTTTGTATCTTCTGATAAAGTTGTATCTACACCAGCAACGTTATAATGCCCCTATAGCCCTAAACTGTCTATTAGCATAAATAAAATGCTTCACTTTATGGTGAACCAAGCTAAAGATCCATGCTTCAATAAAAATAATGTCAACAAAGAATTTTGATGTTAGACTTTTCAAGCCATGAAATCATAGTCCAAATTCTTTTGCTAAATACCTAGATTTTAATGCAAACATCAATGGTATTTTTTAATATTTAGTACAGCACTCTTAATAGCACTTTGCAAATAACATAAACCAAGAGATCTTCCCAGTCTCACCTGTGGACTTAACATGGTCATCGGAACAGGTCCTAGTGCAAGGAATAAAATGGGACCATGGACCAATACACACTCGTCCATACCTGCAAACCCAATATGCAGTGTGCAAATAGGCATTTCAAAGCTCTGAGGAGTACAGTGCAGCAGGTAAAGAACCCTGTTCAAAATAAAGTTGTTAATTAGTAGGATCATAGAATTGTTTAGGTTGCAAAAGACCCTGAAGATCATGGAGCCCACCTGTTACCCCAGAGCTGCCAAGTCCACCACTAAACCGTGCCCCTAAGCACCACATCTACATGTCTCTTAAATACCTCCAGGGACGATGACTCAACCACTTCCTGGGAAGCCCCTTCCAGTGCTTGAAAATCCTTTTGATGAATAAATTTTTCCTAATATGCAATCTAAATCTTCCGTGGCGCAACCTGGAAGAAGAGACTGACCCCTCTTGCTACAACCTCCTTTCAGGCAGTTGTAGATACGGTCTCCCCTGAGCATCCTGTCAGGCAGTTGTAGATAAGGTCTCCCCTGAGCATCCTTCAGGCTAAACAACCCCAGTTCCCTGAGCAGCTCCTCATCAGAGAGAAGCGTCATATATACCTGCTGTGCTCTTATATCATGCATATCTGTTTATGGCACCATACTGGTCTAAACCAGAATGGTGTTTGCAACACATCCATGCTTGGCCACCTAAAATGTGTTTAGGCAGCTTCTGATCAAAGGTATTCAAGCAGTGCAGGAAAAAAGGAGGTCATTCAGTAACCAGCAAGTCAAAACCTTGGCTTGGTCAAAATTATGCAACAGACCTTTGACACACCTGGAAATTTACTGCAACTGCCCAGCCTCCTGCAGCTGCAAACTCCCCGTACTGTTATGGAGAACCATGTGTGTGCTTTCAGTCTTTGAAACAAGATAAAGGACCTATTCAAGGAAAGAGCAGCAAGGAAAAAAAATAAAACACAGAGGTTATTAAAGAATATAATAGCTTTGGGCAAGAGATTTTAAAACACTGTAATAAAAGTTTTGCCCATTGAACAAACAAAAATGCAAGATATAAAGACTCCTATTTTTAAAGATAATTTTATTTGCCCTAATATGTCAATAGAGGGGTGATATTTCAATCTAAAATGTGCACGCAGCTAGTGTGTTGCTAGGAAATTAATGTATTTAAAAGATTTAGATACAACGAGGCACTTAATCTGACTTCTCTTTCCAGTTAAGAGACCAGCATCATCAGAGAAGCTGCTTTTCCTTTGAATAATCCCATGAGGCATCTCACCAGAATTCACTACAAACTGCACACAGGCTTTTCTCAAGATCATCCTCACTGACAGATTCCCAAGTGATATTGCCATTTCTCTTTCCAGATTCCAGGAAGTTCTTAGTTCTTCCTTACATTTTTGTCCATTCCTACAGCTCACGAGGTAGCATGCACATAAGGCACGCGCTGTGTATCTGCTGTTTCATTTTTCCTCCCACATGACTGAAAACAATGAGTCATGTGCCATTAAATAGCTGATAAAACAGCTAGGGTGACACCACACATAACTGATGGCAATAACACAGTGACACTGCTATAAAATGTCCTGACAAGCTTATCTATTGGTACAAAACTTTGGCAGGCATGACTATGAAAACTGATACTTACAACAACGGGACATTCTTTGATGACTATAGCCTTCAAAAGGCTATATATATAGGGAGGGATGGGACCCATGTTTGTCAGCAGGCTGGCCAACTCGGTGAGTCAGGCTTTAAACTGAAGGACTCAGGGGCTGCGGTTCAAAGCAGCAATGCTCATGCCATTGCAACCAACTGAGGAATAAGTATGCCAACCAGAGCAGGGACAAACGTTACTTATCTGCCTCTTAGGATGAGAACCAGAAGACGAACCACCTCAAGTTTATGTATACCAAAGCACACAGCCTGGGCTACAAACAGGAGCTCTGTGCCCAGTCAGAAAGTTATGATATCATAAAAATAACTGAAACATGATGGGGCAACTCACATGACTGGAAGATTGTGATAGGTTGTTTCATAAGGCCAGGCAGGAAAGACAAAAAGGAGGAATTGTGCTCTATGCTAGTGAAAACCTTGAATGTACAGAAGTCAAGTATGGTGATTGTGGAAGCCCTATCAAATGCTTCTGGGTCAAGGCATGCTAAGGCATATGAAAATCAACAAGGTACTTGGTGACAGCCAGCATGGCTTCACTAAGGGGAAATCCTGCCTGACCAATTTGGTGGCCTTCTATGATGGAGCTACAGAACTGATGGACAGGGGTAGAGCAGTGGATGTCATCTACCTGGACTTGTGCAAAGCATTTGACACTGTCTCACATGACATCCTTGTCTCTAAATTGGAGAGACATCAATTTGATGGATGGAGCACTCGGTGGATAAAGAACTGGCTGGATGGCTGCATGCAAACAGTTGTGGTCAATGGCTCAATGTCTGGCTGGAGACCAGTAACGAGTGGTGTCCCTCAGGGATCGGTGTTGGGACCGGTCTTGTTCAACATCTTTGTCACTGACATGGACAGTGGGACTGAGTGCGCCCTCAGCAAGTTTGCCGGTGACACCAAGCTGTGTGGTTCGGTTGATACCCTGGAGGGAAGAAATGCCATCCAGAAGGACCTTGACATGCTTATGAGGTGGGCTGATGCCAACCTCATGAGGTTTAACCATGCCAAGTGCAAGGTCCTACACCTGGGTCGGAGCAATCCCAGGCACAGCTACAGGTTGGGCAGAGAAGAGATTCAGAGCAGCCCTGCGGAGAAGGACTTGGGGGTGCTGGTCGATGAGAAAATGAACATGAGCCGGCTTCAGTGTGCGCTTGCAGCCCAGAAAGCCAACCCTATCCTGGGCTGCATCAAAAGGAGTGTGACCAGCAGGTTGAAGGAGGTGATCCTGCCCCTCTACTCTGCTCTTGTGAGACCTCACCTGGAGTATTGTGTGCAGTTCTGGTGTCCTCAACATAAAAAGGACATGGAATTGTTGGAACAAGTCCAGAGAAGGGTCACGAGGATGATCAGGGGACTGGAGCACCTCCCGTATGAAGACAGGCTGAGGAAGTTGGAGCTGTTCAGCCTGGAGAAGAGAAGGCTGCGTGGAGACCTCATAGCAGCTTTCCAGTATCTGAAGGGGGCCTATAGGGATGCTGCGGAGGGACTCTTCATTAGAGACTGTAGTAACAAGACAAGGGGTGACAGGTTAAAACTTAAACAGGGGAAATTTAGGTTGGATATAAGAAGGAAATTTTTTCCTGTTAGGGTGCTGAGGCACTGGAATAGGTTGCCCAGGGAGGTTGTGAATGCTCCATCCCTGGCAGTGTTCAAGGCCAGGTTGGATGAGGCCTTGGGTGATATGATTTAGCGTAAGGTGTACCTGCCCACGGCAGGGGGTTGGAACTAGATGATCTTAAGGTCCTTTCCAACCCTAAGGATTCTATGATTCTATGATTCTATGATTCTAAGATGAGAGGGGTCATCTCCAAGGAGGATCTTGCAGCAAGCATCTGCTACTGACATCCAAACCAAGACAATAAGGCCAGTGAAGCAATATTTAGTTCACTTAAGCAATCTTTGGGTCAACAGAACCTGGTTCTTGTAAGTGACCTCAACTACCCAGCATACAAAGTGCGTAAATATCTGGCTAGGCAGCAAAACTATGGTAGGAAAATCAGTAGCACAAAGCAGTTAAAAAAAATGCCATTCTGCATTGTGTCAATAGAAATGTTTATGGTAAAACACATGATATATATCTATAAATATATATATATATACAGCTGCCAGTCCTGGTAAAGTAGAAAGCTGCTGAGCTTTCCACTTATACACAGATGTAAACAAGTTAGAGAAATTGCACATTACAGCAGCAGAAACAAGACCCTTGAAACCCTGAGTTTACAAGTAGAGAAAGTTGGTTTGTTTAGTCTGGAAAGGAAAATATTTGGAAAGACACTTACAGCAGCCATAAACATGGATCTACGGTTTATTTACTTGCTAACCCTTCAGGGCAAATGTCACTTGGTGGAAATGCTTCCACAGCATCACTTCATCATTTAGCCATCAGTGGGGAATGGGGTTTGGTTATTATCCAAGCCGGAAGCCAGTGCAAGGTTCTGACAGTCCTGCTGACAGATGCAGAAAGGGCCATGCACAAGCAGGTAGATACAGCAGATAAACCCTACTCCATTCAGCTCTGTAGCAAGGCATTACTAAACATGACCTGACACTGGAGTAGCAGAAACAAACTGTAGAGGGGAGCAACCTTAATCCTGAGCTGGTGAGGGAGCCTCAAAACCAAATGGGATCAGCAAAAAGACTTGCCTACTTTAAGCGTGGCCCTAAAGAGGTTTTCAAGGGCTGTTATCAATGTGAAGCAGCTGAGACCATGCAACCATTTGCAGCACATCTGCTGTGAAGGAGCATACAGAACATCAACCCTCTGAAGGTGGTTGATCTGCTGCTGGAAGAAATGACTGTGAGGTATGAGGCTGCAAAAGTCATACAGGTGGCACATGGACGAACTACCTAGTGTTCTCCTGTGTTACTGATGTTTTATGACTGTTGCTTTCTCTTCCTCATGTTCTTCTTGGTTCAGCTGAAGGAACCAACCAGGCAGCAAGCCAAAGAACTTAGACCGATGCATGGCTCATTACCAGAGCCTGATGGGGAGAGTTTGAGCCAGCACCCAGCAAGGAGGGGCCCAGTAAAAATGGTATTCCAAGGTTGGAAAAGCACTGTATTGGAGGGTGCTGATGGATGCTGGGTTTATAGTTTGAAGCTGTACTTCTTTTTAAAGAAAACAAGTTTGTTAAGCTTCTTTGTGGGGGACTGGGGAAGAGGATGTGGTTGTGCTTTTGAGCTGTGCTGTTCTGGGAGGTACTGGGCAGCCACAGGTTTCAGGGCTGTTTCTGTATTAGGATGCTATGGTTGATACTATGAGAGCTGGCTGATAGACCCCAGTCCTTCCTTCCCTGCACACTGACTGTGCACATACATGCCAGCCTTCTGCTGATACCATATTGCTCCAGCTGTGCCAGAAACAGCACATGCAAAGCCATTCAACTGGTTTATATTCATGACTGCACACCCAACTTAGCTAATTTAAAGTCACACACTTCTCAAGGGACATTTTAAAGGATTTGAGGTCAGCCACTTTCAAGGAACTTGGCATGGTATAAAGGAAAATGTCCTGGTGGTTGGGCCTCTGCTAGAATAATTGTGTAATTATGGGCAATAACAAAGCTTGACATGACTAATGTATCTGCATAGGATGTGGGTAGTAACTGAACTATTTAACAGGAGCACTTTGAGAACCAAGCCAGCTGCCACTGAAATCCCTGTAAATCTAAAAGCATTTCACTTCTATCTGAAAACCTGTTTCACTAATAAAGATAATTTGACCTGTCCTAGGACCTGCATAACACTCCATAGTCAAACATAAA